TCTTCTTGGGAGTGACCTTAGATAGTAAACTTCAGTGGTTTCCACATATATCGTCCCTGGCCAGCAGATTAAGCTCCGCTGCATACGCAGTCCGCAGAATACGTGAGCTTACCGATGTTAGTACTGCTAGACTAGTTTACTTTAGTTACTTCCATAGTATAATGTCCTACGGGATTCTCATGTGGGGTAAAGCGGCAGATATTCAAACCATATTTGTATTGCAAAAACGAGCGATTCGTTCTGTGTACCGTCTAGGCTCTCGGGTTTCTCTCAGAGAAAAGTTTAAGGAGACTGGTATCATGACTGTGGCATCACAGTACATTTACTCAAATATTTTATATGCCCGTAAAAATTTACATAATTTCAATAAGAAAGAAGATATCCATAATATTAACCTTAGAGCTAAGTCCAAACTCATGGTACCACGATTTCGTTTAACCAAGGTAAACAACTCTTTTATTGGGAACTGTATACGTTTTTACAATAAGATTCCGGAGCATATATTAAGTTTATCATTTCCTAAGTTTAAAAACTACATTAAAAATATTTTGATCGAAAAATTATATTACAAAATTGAAGACTACGTGTTAGATAAAGATGTATGAAAAGACGACATGGCTCCAGAATCCACACAAATTTGATTCAAAGTGTATTCCATAGCATTTAAGTTTATTTGAAAAGAGCAATCCCTAGAGTTTCTTGCTCGTTCTTCTCAGGGAGGTCAGCGTAGTGAACGAGTAGTACCTTAAATGTAGCTTAAATGTGACGTTTTCAAGTGTAAATTTATTTTACCTATGGAATAAATAATCTTTGACTTTGACTTTGACACGCCCACCTCTGTTAGTGATAATTACAGTGTCTTACCACGTGCTTTCTTTTTATTTTCCTGATTTTTCGGAAAAAAGTTAGTGACAATGGTAACGCCACAAGTAATCGAGAACAGGGTAGTCGTCGGCAGCGAAAGAGGTTAGACAGATATGTCTCTTCTTAAAGCTGTCACCTGTAGACTTGTGCCTGATCGGTCCTTAACGGGAGTAGGATCGCTCCTTCGAAGGACGTATACAAATCTGTTCATTTTGCTACAAATGCTGTCAATATACCCAAAAATTTAACTGTCTCTGAGCCTTTGTAAACTCTTTACATCATAGTTAATGTTTATATTGATTGGTGTAATCTTAAATATGTACACTACAGTAAAATACAGTAAATTTTACCGTGTATGTTTACATAAATCTATTTCTATCCACGAAAGCCTTAAAATTTATAACCAACGAAATTTTCTGATTTCAGGGAAAATAGCGGAAACTTATGGAATCATCTAGAACTCGCTATGACAACATTATGCCTCTATGAACGCATGCTTTGTAAAACTTGGATGTAGCTACATAAGTACATAGTAACTAAATTACTAATTAAGAAGATCAAGTATATTACAAGCATTATTACAATATTCTTGATCTATGAGCTAAGTCAGAGAAAAGGCCATTCATTTTCCTGAACAAAATTTCAAATTAAATGTTAATTGTAATGGCCTTCCCTTAATTTAAGATGGTATGTTATTTTGAAGAAAACAATCCTTATGATTGAGGCATTCGATCAGTATAGTAAAATCACATTTTTTTTACATTTGGCGGGTTCGATTCCCGGTTCAGACAGGCGATTACCTATTTAAAATTCTTTGAATGCAGTTCGAATTGCATTCAGTCAAATTTTCTATCTACGGTATTTAAGGTACTTTTCCTCCGTGTGGCATAGCCTGAGACGCTCTATATATGTCTATATCGACTCATCCGAAGAACAAAGTCCGATGTGATTATATAACGAAAAGAGCATAAGTACGTTACGAGAATAATTTCGTTATTCAAACTAAGGCCTATGTAAAGGTGTTTTTACAATTTATATATCTTGTTTCGTTTCGAAAATTATAAAATCGAACAACAGTCGATCTGACATCTACAGCGAAGAAAAACGAACCAAATGTACTATGTCCTGAGAGCAAGTAGTCTTGCACATACACCTTTGTTCTACGGATGAGTCGATATATATTTGTAAACAATTTATATGATTTATTTGTTTTGATTGAGAAAAGTTGCCAAGTTGTAAGCGGGAACGGGGATGCCTAACTCGTATAAGACATGACATCAATGGTGCTCAGTTTTGTAAGTCACATTCACGGGTCATATTCGTCCGGCAATCCATTAACTCCCGGAGTCTGTAATAACGTATTATTTAGTTAATAAATCAATTACTTATATAGAGTGTCACATTGCTGGACAGCTCGTCCAATACCAGCATTTTTTCGGATTCTGGAAAATGTATATCGTATAATATACATGTTCTATTTAGCTCAGTTGATATGAAAAAGAAATCACTGATTTTTTTAAGAAGTAATTTTATAGGTAATTGTACCTATTAAGTACAGCGGTTTCCTTGTAAAATTTCGAGGTAAGTTTGTGCTTTTTTATAGTAAAAATTTTTAGGAATGGTGTTTTCACACCGTATTATAAAATTTAATTAGTGTGTATCCACAATTTTAGTACATGTTTTTTTCATAGTGATTGCTTCAACACTTTCACTGCTATGCGGAAAACGAAAGCCATTTGAGGTAGTATAGACTCTTAATCAATTTATAAAAAAATTAAGGAACTTAATAAATCACTTCTGCAATTAAAACTGCGCCCCGTTACTACATAGAACAACAATTCCACCTGCGTTATTAATTTACAATAGCAGCATAGCCAACATAAAAAATGTAATCAAACCTTGAATGATCTAGATGTATTGTGGTCTTAAATGATGGGTCGAATTTTGGAAATTGGAAGTGCGAAGGAGAAGTTATTACGGGTTAACAGATAATAAATCAAGGAATAAAATAAAATAAAAATATTAAGCAAATAATTATTGTATCTGCAATTATACATAATGTGTATAATCGTATTATATTATAAGGAAATATAATCGTAACATCAAAATGTAATTGTATCCAATAAAAGTGTTATTTGAGCAAATAGTAGTATCTTTAATTTATTTAATATTAAGGTCAATTCTTTTTTACTTTTTATTTATTTACGGACTTTGATCGTTACTGAACATGTCAGCCCCGTTAGAAAAACAATACCTCAAGGAAACACTTAATAAAATCCACTGGTGATGTTACAAGCACATGAGACATGGCAACTTGTATCTCAGAGTAACGGGCGTAATAGCAGTACCCCTCAGATCTTGGGAATTTAAAACACTGCGTGGCACTGATATGCGTCATGCGTGTCGCTTACCATTAAGTCCACGTCTTGTTCACTTAAGTAGTTAAGTCCACTAGGTATCATAAAAACTAAAACTATCTATATTAAATATACCTATTAAAATTTATAAATATTTTTTTTAATTACCTCTATTTATAAAAAAAAAATCAGCTTGGGTGGGCCGCGCTTGGACGACATTCTTAAGTCAGCTAAAATTTCACAATGTCTGGAGAACCGTCTATATAATCAGTGTGTTCTGCCTACTATGACTTACGGTGCCGAGACGTGGACGCTCACGCAGGAGGCTGTGTATAGGATGAGAGTCGCACAGAGAGCCATGGAGTAAAGTGGAGCTGGGCAGAGCACCTGATACGGATGGGCGGATGACATCGCAGGAATTGGGGGGCGAAACTGGATGAGATTAGCACGGGATCGTGGGGAGTGGCACAGAAACTTGGAGCCCTATACCCAGCAGTGGGTGAAGTCAGTTTGTATATGATGATGATGATAATTTATATTTATTTAATTATTTATTGTACAGAAAAACACAAATCACATTTAGTAAAACGGAAAACACAAAGAAAATATACTGCTTATTTCTATATGTAATTTCTTCCTGCATACCAAATACGGGACACAATAATTACAACAACGGGTTTACATGCACAACTAAACAAAATTAAATTACGTATTAAAATAATGATAAAAAAAACAATAGCAAAAATATTCAATTACTACAGACTTAAATACTTACATTTTTTTTATATTTATCTTTTAAAACGTAATACACAACAATGTTTCTAGTCGCATTTTTAACCACTAAGGTTCGTAGTAATGCAAACTATAAATACATATCGCACTTGACAACTGACATAGTATTATCTCAAAAATTGTGTTATATTATATTTTATAGGAAATGAGACTATTTTTCCCATGGACTTACAAATAAATGGACGACGGGTCTAATACAAAAATCACGAAAAAATGTCCTAAGTCAACCTATTTAAACGTAGTGACATGTAAAGGAATATGAAAAAGCTAAAACGTTGAATTTAAATTGTAATGTCATCGCAGTACTGTCTAATTTTGCTTGCTTCGCTGTCAGTCGAACAAACGAAGACTAAAGCGTGAATACGATTTTAACGCCCTATAAGTTCGGACACTTTTTAGCGCGGACCCGACGTCCATATAATTGTAAGTTAATGATTTTTCCGGATTTAAATCGCGTATATTTGTTTTTTCAAACAAACCGACATTTCGGGCTCTTTACAGGCCTCATGGTCACGGTTGACTGTAAAGGGACGTCGGTTTGTTTGAAAAACAAATATACGCGATTTAAATACGGAAAAATAGTTTCATTTCGTATGTGTAACAATCGCGAAAACCTAAGAACTCGATATTATAATTTATCTCAAAATTGCGATATATTAATAATTCATCTCTAAAATTTCGTTACATTTGTACCGATGTCATTCGCATACGATTTAAATTCAAAGAGACAGGCCAACGCTGTCGCTTTGAAATGAAATAGGTAATATTTAATATAACTGAAGGCAATTGTGAGATAATACTATAGTTGCCATGTGCGATATATCGAATTATAATATCTATAAAATGGATTACATAGTGTGAAATAGATAGATATAAATAAAAAAAAATTGATATCGTTTCTATTTTTATTAATATTTTACTTAAATACTTATACAACATTGTTTATTGTTCAGAGAATACATTGTCAAATATTTTGCAGCTTCCATATTGCAGTCGTCGATTTGATCTTCAATTTATTGAGCTTTTCTTCGGATGATCCTGAAACCACACCAAGAAACGGATCGTTATTTACAAATTCCATGTTTCAAGTGTGTCAAAATTTCGAAGTCAAAATTTGACGATACGTAATTTTTAACTTTAGATATAACAAATAATACGAACTACATAAAACAAATTATGTATAATTATGTGATATTTTACAACTCTCGTGTTTCATAAAAAGTTATCGACGAACTTCGTTTGTAGAATATTTAGATCTTTATCCTGAAAAGTTGTCGTTTTGCAGGTCGATACCTCCGATGAACACTACGTCAACTTAATTTTTGGACCTGTTCTGTTTTTATTTTTGTTTTTTTTTTGTTTCTATAATGTTTAAAAAAACAGCTTTCTTTGATTTTTATTTCGAAATTTGTTTCTTTATTTTCTTTTCACAAAATTCGGGGAGCATAATATTTCTAAATAAATATGGCTGTTTACAAAAAATTACAGAAATTATCAAAAAATAAAGTTTTTTTCTTTCTAAATTTAGTTTTTTTCGTCTATCAAGTGACGGGACGAACAAGTCGTGCGCCTGGCGGTAAGCTACACGCCTGTCCATAACAGTTGCAGTGCCACTGAGAGCTTTGAATCGCAAAGATCTGAGGGGCAATGCCACTGCGCCCCTCAACCACATCAGTTGACAAGTCCCATGTGCCTGTAGTTTTACCAGCGCCCTTACCCTTCAAAACCGGAACGCAGTAATGCTCACATTACTGCTTGGCAGCGGAAATAGGAAAGGTGGCAGTACTTCCCTGGACGAACTCTTTCACTAAACTTTACTGCTATTAAAGAAGTTGATATAGTGTTCATTGGAGGTGTTGAGATGTGGCCTTATTAGACCAGCGGTTTATTCATAGGTGATTGGTGGATGTTATAGAAGAGGAATAAATCCAGGAGTAGTGTACTTGATGGCGGTTTTATTGTGATCGCCAATCCTTTGGAAGAAACTACCGTTACACAACTTACATGTTGGATATGGTTCGTAAGTCTCCAGCCTGTTGCGACATTGGGGTGCACGATAGGAGAGACTCCTTCGCACAAAGTTTTAAGTGCACGAAAGGAATCTTCCCGTACGACCATGCCATTTCTTTCCTGTATGTCTGGCTTACCTTGGGCAACAATCGGTGAGAACCTTTTTCGCTGATTGGCAGATTGTTTTACCACCATGGCAAGCATCGTTGTCTACGTCATCGATACGATATGAACATTGCGACAGCGTTGCAGATTAATGAAATCTCCTAGAAGGAGATCAAAACCTAACAGCGTTTAGATTTAGGTAATGTTTAAGAATATACTTGCTGTTTGAATTTAGGTGAAAACCGCCTCCTTCTGGTTTCATTACTTTGATTTTTTTTTTGATTTGATTTGATTTGAGTGGCATCCGCTGAAGATTTCTCCTAAAAAAAAACAAAATTACATATAAAAAATGGTTTATTTATTTATTTTCCTAAGGCACTTTAACAGCGTGTATATTAATGCATTTAATCAACTTAAAACTAAAGAGAACAAGCTCCGATACACAAGCCAATTACAGATGTGCACAATATTCAGTTCGATCTTTGTATTGATAATTATAATAAACTAGTGGAGTAGTTTCACAAAAAATAATTGAATAGATATCAATTAATACAAATTAATTTTTTTCATGTACTTCTATACAAGCACTTTGGACGTATGATCACATGTTGCTTTATTATTTCTAAGGGTATGAATGACGTGTTTTGAAATGGTGTTCAATATTTCCGTTTTTATCAACGACATTTCTCTAATCGTTAATGCGATATGACTGACAACTGAAAGACTTAGGAAATGAAACTATTTTTCCGGATTTAAATCGCATATATTTGTTTTTTCAAACTAACCTTCGTTTCGGGCCTTTTACAGGTCCCATGGTCACGGTTGACTGAGGTGGTACAGTCTTCAACCAGTTATGTCTAATATTGATTCAAACCATCCTATTTTTTCACTATAGTTACAATAGTTATTAATTAAATACCTTATTTTTAATTTTACAAAGAAACTACTACTACTTTTACTATTAACAATCGCGAAAACCTAAGAACCGAAAGACTTTTTTATAATATCAAGTGACGGGACGAATAAGCCGTATGCCTGGTGGTAACCTGCACGCCTTTTCTTAACTGTTGCAGTGCCACTCAGAGCTTTAAATCGCAAAGATTTAAAGGACACTGCCACTGCGCCTGTCACCCTGAGACATAAGTTGTCAAATTCCATGTGCCTGTAATTTCACCAACACCCTTACCCCTCAAAACCGGAACGCAGTAATGCTCAATTACTGCTTGGCGGCAGAAATAGGTAAGGTGGGTAGAGGTAGCATAGAGTCCTAAGGGAATTGTTACCAGAAAAGGCGTTTTATTTGCTAAAAATAATTGCACAATTACTTATAAGTAAAACAAATACACAAATTGAACTTAAGTGACAAGTCGTGGTAGCCAAATGGTTTGATCTACTGCCGTGGGTTCGAATACAGGCTCACTTCTTCGAGTTTCACGGAATTTATGTGCGAAATTTGATTTGAAATTTACCATGAGAGAAAACATAGTGATCAAACCTGCTAGTGACAGAAGGTTCACAACTTATGGAAAACTAGTGAAGTCCCCAACCCGCGCTGAAACTTCGTGCTCAGAAGTGGGAGTATAAATGTTTCGATGATGATGGCATGTGATAAGGAAGGTATGAAATTGTTAAATGCAGGAATTAAGTCTACCGAATAAATTCCCGAAATCTAATTAAGGTACAATTTATGCAGATTTTTACTAACCTCAACGATATTTTCTGATCTCAAAAGATCTTCTTTCGGTGGGCCGTACTCCTTAAAGCCAGGGGGCCCATATTCGAGGAAACCTTCGGGCGCTCGAATGGGTCTGAATGATTAAAGTGTAATATAAATAAAAAAGTAATGAAAAATATACTGCTGAAGTGCTTACACAGAAAATAAATGAATATAAAAAAAAAGTAGGCAAAAAAAAAAACACGATGTTCAATAAAATAAATATTACAGTTTATAAAAGAGAATAACCTATCACAAACTCGATTTTTTTTCCAAAATAACGTTTGTTCGAATTTTCATTACACCGAAAACCGAATTATAACAAAACCGTTGTTCTTTCAGGATATGTTGGATGTCAAAATTACTTTCGAGGTCATGAAAATTCGAGCTAATGTTATTTCTGGAAAATGTCATTTCGAACTACTGATAGATAACCATAAAAGAGACGTCTCTTGTGGTAGCTATAAAGTACATGGCTGAGTGAAAAAAAACTTTCAAACTCACAGATGGCTTTACGGCGGAAAAACCGTTTAAACCCAAAAATAAAGATCGGCAACAAGCAAGGAACTTCGTAAGGTGTGTTGATTCGTTCCGTAGTTCAGTTGTGCGGTACAAACAGTTTTAAGTTCAAATCCAGCCGGATCAAGAGATTCTTTTTTGTGGATATTTGATCTTTGTATAACAGCAAAAAATGTGTTTTCAAGAAGAATTCTCACACATCATTATTATCAACTTACCCGATTGTCGCTTCAATGCTTTTAGGAGACACATCTTGGAGAGTCTGAAACCAATTTAACTAGTGACAATATTGATAAATCCTATTTCTACTGTACCAATATCGCATCTCTGGTGAAACAGTGGCTTAACTTAAGTTTACAGAAAACAAGTTAAAAGTTTCATTTTTTGGCTATTGGGCTACTGGGATTATATAAACATTTTTTGTTTTCTTTTGTATGCATCGAGCATATAACCAGAAATAGAGTCGAAATAAGGGCCATATATTCCTGGTAACACATTAGCAATACAGCTCTTATAAATATCAACTTCCGTTCGCACTGAAATATAGACAGGCCAACTACTGACCTGTGCGTACGTCTCTGTATATTCCAAAAAATATTCTATATTTATTGTAATAAAGATAATATCTCTAACAATGCCGTACTGTTCTATTCGGTGGTGTGGGAAAAACAGCAAAACATCTAATTACAAAACAAACGGAATCACATTTCATCGGTAATGAAATATTAAACATGTAATTTTGCAATTTTCGTCCATTATAGCAAAGCTCAAGTTAACTGGTCGATTAAAGTTAAACAGTTGACGACACCCGTCACTTGTTTCGAACTCGGGCTAGCCAATCGGAGCGCAGTTGTCACAGTAATGACATGGCAGAATAGTGTTCAAACAAATTAAATGACATTTCGTCTCTATTTCTGGTTATATACTCGATGTTTGTATGATACTATTTCATTAAGCACTGCTTTATGGAAAAATTAAAAAATGCATGGTGTGTCTCTGTTTTAAACCGAATTCAAAAAAGGAGAAAGTCTTCAATTCGACTATTTTTTGTATGTATAACTGAATTTGTGAACCGACTTTGACAATGTTGTTGTTGTAAAGGTAGTTCCCATTTAAATTTGAAGAAAATATTACATCTCTAAGGGTGGCAAACTAGGGGATGAATCCGGTTTCGCGCACTTTCCGGTAATCGATTTCAATATAACCTAACAATAGATGTAATTCCAAGCGCTTTAAGGTCGGTCTTAGTACTCTGTACTGATTCGTATTTTTTCACGTTCGATAATACGCAAACCTCAATAAAAGAATGTCGATTATTTCCAACATGCAAACGAAAGTGGAAAAAAACAATGATAAATAACCTCATTTTCCAATGTCGTGAGTGTTTCAGTGATGCTCTTAACGCCTTCATCCACTGCTTTCATATATTCTTCAATTTTCTTTTCGACTCTCTCATTTTTAGTAGCTACAATACCTTCTGTTACTTTTACTACACCGTTTTCCTGTGTCACTGGACTGGTCTTCGGGGTAGCTTCGCTAGAGTCCTTGGTAGCTTCATTGTTATTCTGGGTCACCTGGCTGATCTGCGTTACTTCGCTGATCTCCGTTGTTACATCATTATTGTCCTCTGTCACCTGATTGATCTCCTGCGTTACTTCGCTGGTCTTCGTCCTTACTTCATTATTATTCTCCGTGTCCTCTTTAGCATTTTCCTGGTCTTCTTGTATTTCCTCAGTTACTTTAAAGGATCTCTGGGACTCTTCCTTATGGCCTTGAACAATTTCTTCAGTGTCAACGACATTTTCTTCATTGACATCACTTTCCGTAGCAGTCTCTACCTCTACTTGAATTAATAATTTTTCTTCTGTGTTAAGTGAAACTGTAAAAATGAAATGTTCTCTAAAAGTGAATTCAATCTTTGATTGGCATTGGTAACGATAAATTATAACATAATTGAATAGCTCAAACTTCAAACCAAAACTACGACTGTAAGTGTTGTTTTGTAACTATAAATCGTCGGCTTATTGCAAGAAGTTATTAACGGCCATATAATTTATATGGCACTTAGTGATTTCTTGCAATAAGCCGACGCAATATACATTTTTTCAAACATTTTTTAAAAATTCTTACCTTCCTCAGTGACAGCGTCCGCTTCATCAGCAAACTTGGCTTCAATAAGAGCAAAGGATCGTTCAGTTTCAACATCAGGTAACGCTTGTTGTGTGATTTCCTGAGAGCTGATCTTGGGCGGACCATATTCGCGAAGAAAGTCAGATCCTGATGCTTCTACATCTTGAACAGGCACGTCCTTCAAAGGAACTGCTGGCTCCTGCGGGTATTATTATTTTTATTATAGGGGTGTATTCCAAAAAAGTCTTTACTATTATTAAAGAGTGGTACGTTACAAGATGCAGGTTTTATTAAGTAATGTTGTTTTGAACCTCAAAAATCTTTTAATTACCTCAACTTCGGAAGGCAACAAGAAAGCGGGTCCCCGAGGTCTCCAGCCACTGGGCAAGTAAGGTCCAGACCCTAGAGCTGCAGCAGAGCCTATAAGCATTACGGCTAGAGCGAGGACCTGAAATTTTATAAGTACATCTTTCATTTGTTATTTGTTTGAAAAATTCTGCTTTCAAATATTAATTGTCAGAACGGGATACTTTAAAGAAGATGATTCACAAAACTATTCTGTTTTATATCAAGTGAAGGGCCGAGGATAATTTTCTGGCTAGTTTTCTCTATCTAATTTCGGTGGCAATTTCTATTACCTAAATATTGTAGCATATTATAAAGAAATATTATTTAATATTTCACAATAATTTACTCGAACACTTAATAAAAATTTCCACCTAAATTAGATACAGAAAAATAACCTGAAAATTATTCACGAACAAGTGTTGCGCCTGGTGGTAAACGACACGACTGCCCATAACAGTTGCAGCTTTAAATCGCAAAGGTGTTAGGGGTGCTATTGCACTGCTACTGCGCCCGTCCCCTTGAGACATAAGTTGACAAGTCCCTGTAATTTCACCTTTACCCTTCAAAACCGAAACGCAGTATTGCTACTAAAACTTGTAGAATATTTTTGGAGAGAGATGACAGCCTAGTTATCTCCTCAGAATAAAATATAATATCTTTCTTTTTTTATTAGAATTACACATTTGTTTTTGTAATGAAAACATTCCAAAATGAAATGTGTAATTTAAATTAATGTATTTTAAATAAAATTTACCTTCATTCTGCTAACGTACAAAGTCCTTAGAAGAAACTGTTGACTGATGCTTCGAGAAAAGTTGATTCCCATTTTATACCTGTACTGTTTGAACTTAAAAAAATCGTCAAACAAATTGAGATGTTAAATATTTGCTTTAGATTAATTATTGGTTAATGAAGTCCCATTCACAAAAGCTGTTTGATTTTAGGAAGAACAGAATGTATGACCGAATCGGTTGTGCAATTTTAAAGCAAAAACTTTGCACGTTTGTGGATTTTGTGTTTGAAGGTCAATGTTAAAACGACTCACAAAATTAGATCAAGAAGAGTCGATATACTTTTTACGCATAATTTTATTTAGCATTCCAAGCCTTTATTTCTTAATCTACAGAAGTAACCAATAGCTCCGTTAAAAAAGCAGTGTAAATAAGTAAACGTAGGAAAAATGCTAAAGCGCAGGAAACACCGCGAACGAGGCTAGCTGACTTAGCTTAGTTCACGTAGTTTCATGCAAAAACTGTAGCCATAGTCTATTTCATCCCAGGATGAAGCTAAGAGGAAACCACGGGCCGACCGATGGAGCTGGGCTGGCCTGAGGAGGAGGGTGTACCGTGAGGGCACGTGGAGAGAAGAGTCGCGGGGGAAATCACGTGTCGGTGTGTCATTGCCGCTCATACCGTCCTCTGCGGCCAATTTTGGGCGATTGGCCCATGCGGAGGGCGATCCAAGGGACTCTCTTCGGAGAGTCCACACGAACGCGCGTAGGGTGTTGCGGCGGAGCCTGCCAACAAATCCGCCGCGGGGGCTGGGAGAGCATCCACTGAACTTCACAGTTGGGGACTGGGATGGAAGGCTCGTCTGATCTTCGGCGGGCCTTACATGTGGAATAGGGGGTCCGATGTGTCTCCCTTCTCGGGGAGGGGCTGCGCTGGGCGCGGCCAGCCGCTGGTGGAGGCGCGGAGGAGCAATAGCGTATATGCTTCCCTTCAGGGTTCAGCCACGTCCCACATAACCCCGGCTCTGCCCCCGCAAAAGCCCTGAAACTGATATACGAATTGAGTATAAGAAATTGTACTATCATTATGCAATGGTAGGTATCACACGTAGGTATATTAAGTAACGAGAAGGTGGATAAACTCACTAACGAAGCTATATCTGATGGTGTGAGCATGTTTTGTAAACTGACTGCTACTGAATTTATTCCTCTAGCTGAAGATCGTTGTCTAAATATTTGGGATAAAGACTACGAGGAAATTTCACTAGCAAGAGGCATTTGATATAAGACGATACAACCGCGACCTCCTCGAAAGCAGCAGTTTGACGGTGCGGGTTTCTCTAGGGAATCTCTTGTTTCAGCATTTAGAATCAGATCTGGTCACATTCCACTAAATAAATTTTATCACTTATTTATTTATTTATTCAATAACAAAATATTGTAACATATCGGTATTTACCATGGCGTTACATCAATTTAGAGACATAACAACAAAATAAAAACAAAATCAACCAGAATTAAAAATAAAAATTTTAAAAATATATATATCGTTAGTAATATAAACTTAAATTATCAATATCACTAAAACCCATCTTGTTTTCTCTCTAGCACTCTCTTGCATTCAGTCATCAGTCTCGCTATCCCAGTCACAAACAGATTACACTGCGGTGATGCTGCGAGTACGGAGTTGAGGAGTGTAGTTGCACGGGGAAGGGGCGAGTGTCGGTACTGTTCAGTGCGTCAAGGCACAGTTGCTAACAAGGGCACATCACGCCGCCTGGTGCAGTAGTCATTTGGTACTTTGGTATTATATTTAAGGATCATTTCCACGAGGTACAAACTGTCTATATTATTCCTTATAACATTTAAAACAAAGAAGAGGAGAGACAAATTTCTACGTAGTTCTAATGACCCGAAACCCAGGTGACCCTGTAGGAAGCGTGTTGAGTACATGTACGGGTAACAACCGTGATTCTTTTTATATAAGTATCTTAAAAACTTTTTCTGTACTTGCTCCAACATAAGAATATGTTTATTCTCATGAGGAGACCAGACTGCATTCGTCTCGAGGATGCTGCGAACCAGTGCCGTGTATAATGTGCTCGTTGCTGCAGCAGTAAGTGGCGCAGCGTTACGTTACTTGATAGGTATCAAAGCCTCACCCCTCTGCGATTACAGCAAAAGAATAGAAGACCTGATACACCTGCTAGTGTGATCACACTAGGGCCGCAAGTGTACCTACGATTCGGAGTTGAGGAGATTGGACGTAATGGAGACATAAATATTGTTCTGGGAGACCCCTTACAAAAAATAGCCAAAAAGATTTATACTTACGTAACCTATTGCATCAAAACTAAAAATGCCCCTAATTGACCACGCAATTTGAGATTTCCTATAAGGTAAACACAACGTAGTACAGAGTTAAAGGCCTTGTTAAAAATGAGGAAAAAAAAGCTAAGAAAATACGTAGTAAGTAGTGACAATGGATACGTGCGGGGGTGAAGGAAGGCAGAAGGGATATTTTACGTAGTTGATATATGACTCGCCTACGTGAGCTAAGCTAAGTTCGCTTAAATATAGCCTTGTTCGCGGTATGGCCTATGCGCATAAAGCTGGTATTAACAAACAGCTTCTAAGTCCGGTATTATGTGCGTTTAGTTCGATATCACTCAGTTCATAAGACGCGTCTCAAGCTCTCCTTTATTAAAACTATAATCATCGACATTTAGCAGCAGTAGCGCTCCTTTTGAAAAAATCCGTCCAGGAAAATACTGCTACCCGTTTCTGCCGTCCAGCAGTAATGTGGCATTGTTGCATTTCAGTTTTGAAGGGGTGGTAGAGAAACTACAGACACATAGGACTTGTCAACTTATGTCTCAGGGTTTTAAACATTTTTTTTTGTGATTTAAACCTCAGAGCGGCTTTCCACCACGAAAACATGTCGTGTCTGTTGCAGACGAGAAAATGATGAGTGTGTACACGATGCGAATGCTTTCGGACAGACATGTGTAGGGCAAAATGTGACAGTGAAATGTGACATTACGAGTCTTCCAGCTGTCGTTTTACTACCAACTGTGGAAAGAAATATGTTGTTCTATATGTAGACTACTAAGCAACAGCCGTCCACGCGCATAAACGTTCGTCGTGCACCTCACTTCGGCCCCTACAATAGCGGCAAAGCGCGTCTTCGTGTTGGGGTTAGACAATACTTTTTTCTTGTCCGGCACCGAGGCAGTATACACAGTTCCTATCTAGAAACGACACGAATTCTTGCATAAACCCGGTAACTTTTCTTAGCATGGTCCCGCGCCCTTATGGTAAGTAGCTTACCACCACTTCTTGTTCAGACCGTCACTTGGGTATCATAATAAAAAAAAATACGAACAACTCCCAGGTCCTATATTAAATGCGTTAATCTCGATGACACTCAGATCACAAGGAGTGAATACTTACGATAAGAACTGTCCAAAGAATCAAGCAAGTTGTTCTCTGGACTATTTTTATATTTTCATGTTAAAAAGCTTTACTGTGACACATTATTCGACTGGCTCGGATAAATAAACGGAAATAACTGCCTCCGTGGTCGAACGGTTAAAATGCTTGACTGTCACGCAGAGGTCCCGGGTTGGATTCCCGGGCCGGGAGAAATATTTATATGGCCTACATTTATTTCTCTCGTGAGTTTGGGTTTCACTAGTGCGGGGCTTAGAGTGTATGCGTTGTTATTATTATTAAATGCCATTTCTATCGGATACATTTCGGGGAGTGTGCGCAGGAAGATTTCAATTCAGTGCCACCCTCACCGTTCCTCCTTCGGTCGACTACAAGGTCCGGAACACTCCATCCTTATGTCGTTGATATACCACCCATGCGCTAAGCGCTTTGCTTCCTCCTTTCTGATGCGTACGGCAAAGGAATGGAAAACTCTACTTTTCCCGAAAAGTACAATTTGGGGCTACTCAAGGCTAGAGGGAATAGGCATATTTTAGGCAAACGCGTACCATCGACGGTCACAAGGTGAGATTGCGGCCAAGCGTGTTCATTTATAAAAAAAAACTTTAAATTTCATTCCTTTTTAACCGACTTAAATAAAGGAGCAACTTAGTTGGTAGAGCGTTAGGCAAGCATTTCAGAAGGCGCTTGTTGGAATCCAGCTTGATCCAAGGAATTTTTCTTAGAGGTAGTTCAAGAGAAATCAATAACCACCATATCTTTTATTTCTAAATGTGGAAAACCGTTAATGCGATGCTTAATCTTATTTTCCATATGGTATACTAAATATTAATTACGTAATTAGACCGTAAGTTTTTCTAAAATGTAGTAATAAATAAAATAAACAAACTATTTAAAAAATTTGCATTTTACGAGGACTCTAATAACCGGAAATTGTCATTTGCCAAAGAACACACGTCATTACTCCAAGGCCGAAGGATGTTTTTAAATATTTGCCTAATTTAACGTTCAGACGGTTTGACAACAATCAGCAAACAATCATTCCTTTATTAAGTACTCATTCCATAAATGTTAAGCATCGAGTAAGATTTAAACATTATCTGGGTACCTAATTTTCAGGTAAGTTTTTTGTATTCAATTTTGGTGACAATTCCTTTTTATTTAAATATTTATCATCATGAAGTATTATTTTATATTCGAGTGTGGTAACCTGAAATATTCGTTAATATTTCACGATGATATATTCCAGTAATTAAATAATAAAAATTGTCACCAAAATTGAGAACACTAATCTCAGTATAGAGTACTAAAAAAACCGACCTCAAAAGTACGTGGAATTACGTCTATTTGCTAAGTTTTATTGAAATATCCCCTAGTTCGTCACTATACAGGACTTGACACTGGAGATAATAAAAATCGGTTCTCACTACTCAAAGCGTATTGAGAGAAAAACGCCTTGAATTAGAGAAATAGCAAAATCAACCATTAAAGTAATTGCTCCTAAATTAATGTTAGGCACTATTTATGAAAATGAATCTTCATGCGTGAACAGCCACCCTTCGAGGTGGATGATTTTCTTCAAAATGAAATGGGACCACTATGGAAGTACCCCCTTTCCAACGAAAATAGAATCATGAAAATCGGTTCACAAATACCGGAGTTATCGCGTAACATACATACAAAAAAAAAGAACATACAGACGAATTGAGAACCTCCTCCTTTTTTGAAGTCGGTTAAAAAACTTACCTGAAAATTACTCGTCTATACGATAGTAATGGGACGAGAATAATTTTCAGGTTAGTTTTCTCTACCTAATTTAGGTGGCAATTTCTATTATTTAAATATTGTAGAATATTATAATGAAATATTATTTAATATTTCACGATAACTTACTCGAATACTGAATAAAAATTTGCACCTAAATTAGGTACAGAAAAATAACCCGAAAATTAATCACGAACAAGCGGTGCGCCTGGTGGTATAAACAGTTGCAGCTTTAAATCGCAAAGGTCTGAGGGACACTGCCACTGCGTCTATCACCCTGAGACATAGTTCACAAGTCCCATGTGCGCGTATTTCACCAGCACCGTTACCCTTCAAAACCGAAACACAGTAATGGTCACATTACAGCTAGGTGGTAGAATACCTATTTCTACCTTCTAGGTGGCAGTACGTCTCTGGACGAACTCTCACAAGGCTCTCTACTGCTACTAAAAATATATTACATAGTATCTAAAAGAGGTATAGTTTGAATAATCAAAACCATGAAAAAATTGTTTTGCTAAATAATCGAGCGTTAAGTAATAAAAATTCATAGTGGCTTAAAAACAATTTAAAATCTGTGAAATTTAATAAATTTGTTATTATATTGGTATTAGAAATACATATAACTTATATATTAGCAGGTAATAGATAAACAACATGTTAGAGGAAATAAATTTATTAACCAATCAAGAAAAAGGTAGAGCATGGGCTGTTGATTCACATATTTTTGTTTTTTTTTCTCTGCATCTTACAAACTAACTTGTACTTTCGTGTGCTCCTCGTCGTCAGAAAATTTACACGGTAATAAATAACTATACAAGATTCATCACAATACGTAAAGGAAATTTAGTAATGCATAATAATGCTAAATTATCTTTTTAATTTGCCTGGAGCATTATACATTCCCTGCGCTAACCGACGCAAGTTTTTCAGGGCACACAAAAACAGTGGACGCTTTTGACAACTAAGAAAGATCGTAAACAAACTGAATCACAAGCGAAAGAAGAAATTGCTGTTTAGCAGTTGAATTCATCGAAATAAAACTTTTAAAACAACTGCGTTAAGTTTCAAAATGTATGGTTCATTTGACTACATACGATCTTGACTGTCATCAACCTTTGCTTACATACGTAATTACTGCGATATTCGTTATACCAATAAAATCAAATCGCGTGTAAGTAAACCTGGGTCTTCCAAAGATGATGCTCTTTTCACTTTAGCTCCTAAATCTTCTAGAATGTTTTTTACGCGTTACTAAATTTCCGAGTATGAAAAAAGAATCAATGCAAAAAGAAACCTATAACGACTATAATGATGTTTTGGAGTCAGTAGCCTCCTGAACGACCGTTGCCGTGATGTCCACCATGATTGCCGATGTTGTTAGCGTTCGCATCGTAGCCTCCAGAACGGCCAAGTGCGTCAGTGTCTTCGTAGGAGATACGGGGTTTGAAACCACGTTCATCGGCTTCGTAGCTTACAGTCTGTGATTAAAAAATACATTTATGAAAAAAGTGCGCATTTGATATCCTTCTCATCTGACCGAAACTGAACAACGAGGTGGAAGACGCAGCGACATTTGCCAATAAATTACTATATATTTATATTAACCTAAAACTGCTGAATAGTATACTAAAATTGTTGAATACACAATGAACCAATCAGAGAGCTTATATTATTGTATTATACTGGGTCTGGAGGCTAAAATAAAAAAGCAGCATGCTATGAGAGCAAGAAGACAGACTCCAAGTGTAACTTTCCCGTTATAATACCTCACCTGTTTTCTCCCATCGGGTAATACAACGTGGTATTCTCCCTCAGCTCTTTCGTCTTGACGCTCCTCATGATGCCCAAAGTCAGTACCTTCTTCATAATCATTCACCATGTACCCGAAATTGTAGTTAGCTGGCTCCTGCACAGAATACAGTATAAGTACTTTTTAGCTCTCTTTAGAGGAACCCCTTGCCCAGCAGTGGGTCATGTATGGAGTAATAGTCATTTTTATTAAAATTTTCATCATTGGCTTAAGAAAGATTTCGCTGTAAGTCACAGCCTAGCAATGAAAACATATTCAATGCATTCATTTTAATCCATTCAGTACTTATACTTATTCTGTGCAATAAAATATCAAAGCCCTCATCTGTTTTTAAATTAGGGCCCCCTTTTCTAACGCAGTTTATTAGCCATAGAATTGATGAAAAGGCGAGTGGATGATTTAATGAATAGTGAAACGTGGTAAGTATAAGTACGTAATGGATAATGAATTTGATGATATTTTTTTGGTAATAAAATAATGTTTGAGCTAATACTAATTGGAATTTAATTGATTTGCATGGATGGTTCAATGATTATGGTACGTAGTATAATGAATGAATTAATAAAATAGTATATATTAATGGAACCTTACCCCATCACCGCCATTCCTGCCAAAGGGTGAAGCGTTTTGGTCGTATCCTTCAGAGCCACCGTGGTCGCCGTGCCCAAATTGACCGCTCCTGAACCAACACAAGTTTGAATCACTAATGACTAACAAGGAATACTTAGATGGTCTCAAACTAGTTAACTCCCTGTACTGTGAGTACCGGAGTAACTGCTTACACTCCATGACATTACCGAGAACACCCAGACAGAGATTTATTGGTTAAATTACGCCTTTCTGTTGAGCCCCAAAAATAATTAGTCACACAGTAACATGATTTGTCCAAAGGTACCAAATATACGAACAATAACCTACCTAGCAAAACCATTGTTTTTTCCATGTCCCCCCGAACTCCTAGCTGCGAATATTTGCGACCCTGATCCGAAACCAGATCCCCCATGCCCCTGGGGTCCCTGAGGGTATCCGCCGCCTGAACGACCCGATGCTGACGGAGGAAGGTAACTGAAAGCAAGAGATAGTTTGTTTATTAATTTTAAGTTATTTTCTGGAAACAATAGTTATAATTTAAGGCCATAATTTGCTCTTAGTTCATCTCTGTCTGTGATACGATAAAGAGTGGTTACATACGGTGACATTTGGGATTTTTAAGCGATTGTATCGATGCAAACGCGCGACTGCATGGATACAGTTGCTTATGTTGAATAATTATATACGAAGAATGTGTGCAGGTTTGTGCACATTCTTTTGTTTTGTTAATTGTAAATTCAAAAGAGGAATTAATAAATACATTAAATAAATAAATTAGTTATTAATTTAAAACGTGGTTGCATCGCGTTTGCATTGCTGCTCGAAGTCACGGTGTGTAACCGCTCAAAGCATGATTATTTATGAATATTATAATGTTTATAATAACTGAAATACCTGTTAGACGGGGGTGGTTCGCCAAAAACAAGGGCAGCGAGGCATACGGTAGCTATAATAGTCTGAAAAAAACAATTCAAAATTGTCGTTACAAATCATTTCCAAAGCCGCATTTAACATTGTCTACATGAGTTATTACGAATTGTAAACAATGATGTTTGCACGTTAAATACCAATTCGAGATAACTCGCAGTTAAACGTTTATCTTTGGTGTTAGTTGCGCAATATTTCGTGAAACAATATATAGATAAAGTTATAGTAGGTCTAATACCTAGAAGTCTGGAGGAGTTTCTTGGCATCACAAATAAAAGTAATTAAAACAAAAGTTGCTGATGATTAGAAGTGGGCTTTAAAACGAACAGTTTGCTTATTAATATAAGCACACTAGCACGCTTATAATTTT